GAAGGGAGACAGTGTGAGCCTGGTGCATGGAGTCTTTCAGGAATGGGAGAGGCAATCAGCAAGGAAATCATTGCAGGAGGAAGGCAGGCAAGGGCCCGGTCAGAGGGTGATGGGAAGGAAGTTTATATTGCTGAAAATATCAACAATGAAAACAATAACAATAGCAACGTTTATTTTCCAGTATTTACAATATGCTAGGCATCATTTCAGGGTCTTTAGTCATTAGTAATCTCCTACAGTTGAAGAAATGTAGGCACAAAAAGGCTGGAGAGCTTGTCCAAAATCAAGCAGAATGATGGTCAATAATTTCAGACAAGGGTGACATTGACATTGCCACTAACAACGTACTTACTCTCTTTGCTCCTCACTTTTCCTAACCCCTGTCCTTTACTGGCTGTCCAGTGGGCAGCATGAGCACAGTGGGCCTGCAGTGGACACATCAGTGTCCTCCTCGGGTCCCTCAGCACCGCTGATTAGTCCAGTGCCAGGCTGTTAACAATTCAGGGCTGCATCCCTCCCTGGGAGCTGCCCTCTGCTGCGAGGAATTGCCCTCCCAAGGTTACAACCCTCCCAAGAGAGAAGCTGTGGCAAAGAATGGGTTCATATGAGAATAAAAGGCTCAGCATCTTCCCCACCCTTTTTCCCCCTCAACTGAGGAAATACTGAAAGGCCATCTTAGCTCAAAGCTCCCCATTGGAATCCTCAATGGAAACTGCATTTGAGGTCAGTTTCTTCTTCTCCTTCCCCTCCTCCTCCTCCTCCTCTTCTACCTCCTCCTCCTCTTCCTTTCTCCCTTTCCTCTTCCTCCTCTTTCTCCTCCTTCTCCTCCTCATCCTCATCCTTTTTCTTCACCAGACCTGACCTCACTTTTTTTTTTTTCCCGGCAGGTGTTTCTCCCAGAAGTAATCCCCAATGAACCTTGAATGAAATTCTCCGTCTCATAGTCTGTTTCCAGGGAAGCTAATCTAAGCCAATTAGCAGAAGAGTGATCCTGGAAAGCCAGCTATGAAGTGGGAGTTGGGAGGTGATGACTCCCTGGCCAGCTGGTAGCATGGGCCCCGTCACTGGTGGTCGGTGTAGCATGGATAGTCTCTGGGGAGCTTTAGCGATGCAACTGCAAAAGGTCTAGCAAAGTGGCAAGTGTTAGGACATCAGTGGAAGGTGATGCACTGGCTGGGTAAGATTTCTGACACTGGAGAGGCAGGGAGGGAACTAGAATGACCTTGGAATTGGTGGCTGTGGCTGAGTGCCACTGATTCACACACTGAAGACAGATGATCAGATGATTCAAGGCAAAATGTGAAACAAGGGATTCCTCCACGGCACTGAGGGAAACTTCCAACTCCTGCAGCAGAAGGCCATCGGCACGCAGAACTGGCTCAAATGGACCACATGAGAGCAGCAGAGCCCCAGAGGAGGTGGATTCTCGGCTTCCAGGTCTTAACACCAGGGTCAAGGCCACACCAGAGGAGTGGGACCCTGAGACTAAGAGCATGTGGTTATCTGGATTGATATAGTTGAGAATTTTGAACTCCCAGTTTCTCCCAAACCTGCTGGGCCTGCAGAAGGGCCCTATCCCCTGTGATAGAAAGTAGTGAACACAGAGGCCTCAGATGAGTCAGGTGCCCTACAAGACCTGGCCAGAACCCTTCACGATCCCTGCCCCAATCTGCCCTCCTGTTAAGGCTCAGAAAAGTGGGCATAACCGGGTGGATATAGGCAGAACACCTGCCAGTTAACCATGTTCCATGGGAGGCTAGGAGGACTCTCCATTTACCAAAGGGATAAGGAATGTGCTGGGAAAGGGACACCAGCAACATTAAGATGTCCACTAGTGTTTGTCACCTTTCAGCTGGAACCAGCAGTAGGAGATGCCATTACAGAACTGGGCTTCCTGGTGGCAATGGGAATGCTAGGACCTCAAAAACCAAATGGGTCATCGTGGAGGACAGTAGACAACTGCTAACTGAAGCGAAGACCAGCCTCAACTGTAGTTACTGTAGTTATTGTAGTTACTGTGGTAACTTTGACCAGAGCAGATTAACAAAGACTCCAGCACTTGATATGCAGACATCTCTGTGGCAAATGCATTCTTTTCCCCGCCTTTCTCAAAGAGGATCTAATGCAGTACACATTCACAAATCAGTTATAGTTTTTTTATAGTTTTGCAGTTATAGTTATGCCCCAGGGTTTTGTTGATTAACCTGCCCCCTATCAAAGAGACTAACCCATCTATACATTCCACAGATTATCAAATTAGCCCACCATCTTGGTCCCATCATGCTAATTAGAGCAGATAAGCGAGAAGGGGCAGAAATGTTGGAGGCCTTGGTGAAGTACTTGTGCTCCAGAGGCTGTACATGAACTCTGTGGTTCAGGGTCTTGCCACAGCAGTAAAGTTTTTAGCATCCAATGGCCTGGGGTGTAGAAAGGCATTCTCCCCCAAATAAGTGACTTGAATTCACAACTCCCACCACTAAGAAAAGAGCACAATGTCTTGGTAGGCCTCTTTGGGTTCTGGAGGCAGCATATTCTATACTTAGAAAACTGCTCTGACCTACTTACCAGGGCACATGAAAGGTGGCCAGCTTTAAGTGTGGCCTCGAAAGGGCTCTGCCTCAGGTCCAGGATGTGATACAAGCATCTTGTCACTTGGCAGCACAACTTTGCAGACCCTGTGGTGTTAGAGGTTTCTATGTTTGGAAAAGACATCAAGTAAAGTTGATGGCAAGACCCAAAAGGAATCACAATGTGATGCTTAGCCTTTTGGAGCAAGACCATGCCATCTGCAACAGACATTTCATTTGAAAGGCAGGACTTGGTTTGCCACAAGGCCCTAATAAAAACAGAATATGTGAGCAATGGTATCAAGTAGCCATGTGGCCAGATCTGTCCATCATGAGCTTGGCTCTGTCATACTCACCAAGTCGTAAAGTCAGGCCAACCCAGCATCAATTCTTTATAAGCTGGGAGAGGTTCATGTGGGCATGAGTAGGATCTCTCATTTGCAAGTAAGCTGCATGAGCTGATAATTTCAATCCCCATGTCATCTACCACTGTTGCACTGATGTCTCTGTCCCAAAGGTCATACCTGAGAGATCAGGGGTGAGCTCCCTTACACCCACAAATGGAGGAAGAAAGAGTCTGAGCTTGATATATGGATGGGTCACCTTGGTGTCAGCATGAGCTGAAAATGGACTGCTATTCCTCTACAGCACCATCAGGAGTGATCCTGAAAGACAGCAACGGGGAGAACTCTTCCCAATTATCTGGACTTTGGGAGATGCCTCTGGCCTCCCATTTTGTGGAGAGACACATGACCCAAAATAAATATATTCATAGATTTAGGGCATCTTTATGGAACTGTCTGGTTGGACCAAAGTCCTAAAAGGAGAAAGATTGGAAGATTGGAGACAAGGTCTCAGGAAGCTCATCTAGATGGACAAGTAGGAATGGATACAAAATGTGAAGATTTTAGCATCACAGAGAGACACAAAACAACCAAGTGGACAGAATGACTCGGTCATTTGACATCAGCCAGTATCTGTTATGTGCCCCCTAATACGTATGCGATGGACATATGAGCGGGGTGATTATGGTAGAAGGAAGGAAGATCTGTATGGGCCCAGGAGGCACTCCCATCACCAAGGCTGATATAGCTACTGGTGCTACTGAATATCCAACCTACTAGCCATGGAAGTCCAAACTGAGCCCCATATTTGACATCATCCGAGGAGATGGATTAGGCCCTTGGTGGCAACGCTCCACCCTGAAAGGTGGAACGATTCAATTTGACGAATATAAATAAATCGTGTAATATGAGTTTGCCTTTTCTAACCATAGGGCTTTGGCCAACCCAATTACTATCTGAGGACTAAAGAGGATATCTTCAGCTGATATAAAATCCTAACCAGCATGGACCCACTTTATGGCAAAAAAAAATGCAGTAGTGTGTCCCTCAGCTGACACATGCCTAAGAGAGTAGTGGAATAGCCTCTTAAAGAAGAAACTGAGACGTCAACTTGAAGATACCATTGTCCAGACACATGTTATGTGCCTTAACGGTAGAATACAGGAGTCAGGAAACTAAAGGGTGGGAGGAAGAGTGGGCCCACTTACCATCAACCCATACCCCGTTGGGGTTGTACACTTCCAATCCAACAACTTCTGGCTCCCAGAAGAGGAACACTTTGGGATCTCAAGAGTCCATTAAATGCTAAACTGCAACTGCCATCAGTCACTGGGGTCCTCATACCAGGCCAACTGGCCTGGAAAGGAATCATAGGACAGAAGATGGGGCTGCTGCTAACAATGGGGACAGGAAAGAATGAATCTCTTTGTCAAGTTATGCACTGAGGCCTCTCTTAATACTCACAGGCCTTCTTTTAACAGACACAGGAGCCGTGTGGTAAGAAGAACCTGGTAACCAGGGGCTCAGACCCCGCAGGGATGAGTGTCTGGTTAACCCCACCAGAATAATCGTTAGTAACAGGATCAGGCAAAAATGAGGGTATCTAAAGTGATGATGGAGTAGGAGGATGGTGAGTATCGGTTATGGATTCAAGATCAACTTAGCAGGCGGCGCATGGTGCTTGGTCCCTAGGATCTGCGAGTCTGCAGCGAGCAGTGGACTCGGAGCCTCCATGAGCTCTTGGAGTCCAGATGGCGCTGAGGAGCCCGGAATACGGCCTGCAGTGGCCGTGCTCCTGGCCCGCGGAGCGCAATGCCGCCTCTGCCTCCGTTTCTGCTTCCACCTCTGCTCCACCTTCAGACGCCAGGGCCCAGCAGCCAGGGGACCTCGGGTTTGGTGAACTCCCCGGATAAGATCCCTCCGCTTCAGCCCTCGAGCTGCCCCAGGCGCCTCTGCGCAGGCCCCCGAGGCACTGGGGTTGCTTGCGCGCGCCCCCACCGTTACTGTTCCAGATCCCGGGGTTCCAACTGTTACTAAACCTTCAGAAATCTACCCCGGAGGAGCTGATCTTCTAGTTATAGCGGCCGCCATGGATGAGATGAAGATCAAAGGGCGGCTGTCAGTGACACTCAGAGGGGGCCCAGGCATGCACAAGACCAACAGTTCCCCCGAACAGATAGGACCAGATGAGAGCGGCTGCGGAGGTGGCAGTGACCTTGGAGAGGCCCCCACCCGTGCCGCCCCTGGGGAACTTCATTCTGCGTGGGTACCGCTCAGCACTGCGCCAGAGGCGGTACACCGGGACTTGCAGATGGGGCCGGAGGGGGAAAGGGGCCAGGCTGCAGCCGCATCCTTCGGTGAGGTACAGTCACCACTGGGGGTGCGCAAGCACACCCATCCCCTGAGCAAGATCTTCACTGAGGACATCAGCGAGCGCCTGTCGTTGGCAGCTGGGAGCCGGCTGCCCGAGGGCTGCCTGGAGAAGCTGGCCCTCAACAGACCCATCTTCAACAAGCCGCTCAGCCACCTCCTCCACCATGTCAGCCTGTCCGATATTGGCTTTGAGAAGCTAGAGTCCTACGTCAAGCTGGACAAGCTGAGTGAGGGGACCCATACCACCGTTTACAGAGGCAGAAGCAAGCTCACAGACAGCCTCGTGGCACTCAAGGAGATCAGACTGGAACAGGGGGAGGGGGCACCCTGCACTGCCATCTGGGAAGTGTGCCTGCTCAGGGACCTCAAGCATGCCAACATCGTCACGCTGCATGACGTCATCTACATGGAGCAGTCCCTCATCCTTGTCTTTGAGTGCCTGGACAAGGACCTGAAGCAGTACCTGGATGACTGCGGGAATGTCATCAACATGAACAACGTGAAACTGTTCCTGTTCCAGCTGCTCCGGGGCCTGGCCTACTGCCACCGGAAGAAGGTGCTGCACCGAGACATCAACCCCCAGAACTTGCTCATCAACCAGAGAGGAGAGCTCAAGCTGGCCGACTTTGGCCTGGCCCGGACCAAGTCAATCCTAATGAAGACCTACTCCAACCAGGTGATGAGCCTGTGGTACCGGCCCCCCGACCTCCTGCTCGGCTGCATGCACTACTCCACCCATATTGACATGTGGGGCGTGGGCTGCATTTTCTACGAGATGGCCATGGGCCGGACCCTCTTCCCCGGCTCCACAGTGGAGGAGCAGCTGCACCTCATCTTCCACATCTTGGGAACCCCAACTGAGGAGACATGGCCGGGCATCCTGTCCAATGAAGAGTTCAAGGCACGCAATTATCCCCAGTACCGTGCCATGGACTTTTTGAGTCTTGCGCCCCGACTTGACAGGGAGGGGGCTGATCTCCTCACCAAGCTGCTGCAGTACGAAGGCCGCAGTCGGATTTCCGCAGAGGATGCCATGAAGCACCCGTTCTTCTTCAGTCTTGGAGAGCAGATCCACAAACTTCCTGACACGACTTCCATATTTGCACTAAAGGAGATCCAGCTACAAAGGGAGGCCAGCCTGCGCTCCTCATCAATGCCCGACTCAGGCAGGCCGGCTTTCCGTGTGGCGGGCACCGAGTTCTAAGCCGCACACCCAGGCCCCAGCGGGCAGCCGCTGGAGGGATGCCACACCTTTCACAGGGCAGCTCCCATCTGCATCCCCCTGCTTGCTACCTGCCTACCTGCCTGGTTCATGCTCGCCTGCCCACATGTTCCCGGCTGCCTGTCCAACCATCTGACCATTGGCCTGTCAACCACACATTGGCCTGACTGCTGGGTGCTAACAAAGCTCCCATCACTCCTTCAAAAAAAAGGAAAAAGAAAAAGAGAAAGAGAAAGAGAAAGAGAAAGAGAAAGAGAAAGAGAAAGAGAAAGAGAAGAAGGAAGGAAGGAAGGAAGGAAGGAAGGAAGGAAGGAAGGAAGGAAGGAAGGAAGGAAAAAGATCAGCTGTAGAATAGGAGGTATGGTTTGTCCTCTAATCCTTCAAATTCTTAAAAAATGAGACCAGTCTGAATCCTGGAGACCCTGTTTCTAGACGAGATATAAGAAGTAAGTAGATCTGAGTGGCACAAAAGGTGGGCTGGAGTGGATACTGTTGTTACTCCCCAGGTCTCCTTTTCTCTGAACACCCAGCCCCCTGCTACTGGGACTATTGCTGCTGAGAGCTCAGAGCTGCATCCCTCACTGGGAATTTTCCGCTGGAGGGACCTGGTTTATCCAAGGTGGTTATTCCTCCCAGGAGGCAGCCCATCACCAACCAGTGACTGGCTGGTGGAAATACTCAGCCACCACACCCTTGCCTCAGCTTAGGACAACTCTGAAGGCCTGTCCCAGCTCCAGAGCTCTCCATGGGATCAGCCAAAACCTCAGCTACAACATCATTGTTCAGCAGTTTCTGCTGCCTGTTCCATCTTATTTTCTCACAGGTGTGTCTCCTAAGAGCAATCTATAAGAAGCCCTCTACTTTGTCTCAGGGACTCTGTGTCCGGTTAACCTAAGTCAGTACATATCACTTCCTTGTGCTGAAGTGTATATCACATCAAATGCACTTTCCAGGAGGGGTGAGAATGTCCCCACCACCCACACCTCTCCTCCAGCATGAGTGAGAGTTAGCATAGGGCTGATCCCCCGCAGATGTCTAGGGACATATCGGGAAGAAGTCTGTGTATAACCAGAGTCTATCCCAGCTTGGTAAAATCACAAGGCTTGCATCCATGAAGCCAGGATCACTGCCCTAGAGTGTGAGACACACATGGACCCAAACATGTGGAAAGGCTGCAGATGTAGGAGGTGGGAGGCCAACAAAGCAGGGCTTCAGCAGCAATGTCACCGCCTACATCTCTGCCTCAAAAGCAAAAGTAAAAGATGGAGCTTCCTCTCCGCAAATCTACCTGCAAGCCCCTGGACGCTCTCTCAGGATGGGAGTAAATAGTGTGTATCTGGATTGACATCAGAGCAGGAAGATGCTCTAAATTACCTCTATGGCCTCAACGTTTACCTAATTCTATGCAATACTTCTGTGTTGCCATGTTGTTTAGTGTATTTCTAAATGTTAGCATGCCCCACGCTGTACTATATTTAGGAGGGCCCATTCTCCTAACATATCGTGAGACCTTTCAAAGCAAGAACCCAGGTTATATTCATCTTCATGTTGCCAGGGCCTGGCTGCATGAACGTGGCTTCATGTGTAGGTCCCAGGAGATGTAATAGACGACATGTCACCACAAGCTCTCTTCAAGTGGCAAACATCACGCCAACCAAAAAGGTGATTTAAATGTGTGCGTTAAAAGTGTATGTATTCTTTGGTAAAACACTACATGCATTTTTAAATAAAGGAACACTATTTTTTTTCTATGGATTTATCTATTTTCTAATTTCTTTACACTGAAAGGCATGTGTTTGTAATGTTTCTTGAAAGAGAGAAGGAAGCATTGGTCCCTGGGAATTCTGCCCCTTTGTTCTAACAACAAACTGGTTTTAGGCTCGCTTTGAAGGTTCTTAGCCTTTTACACATGCTTCTGTGGCAATGTACCAACAGGTCTGTCTGACTGAGGGTTCCCCAGAGATCAGGCCAGTAGGAGATATTGCAGGAATTGGCTCACATTGGCTCACATGGTTATGGAGGCCAAGAAGTCCTGCAGTCCGCCGTCTGTAAGCTGGTAAGCCAGGAAAGCCGGTGGTGGAATCCAGTCCAACCCCAAAGGCCTGGGAACCAGGAGCACTGGTGGCCAAGTGCAGAAGACCACTGTCTCAGCTGCAGCAACGAGAGCCAATTTCCCCTTCCTTCCTCCAGGGTTTGTTCTATGCAGGCCCTCAGCAGATTAGAAGCAGCCCACCCTCACTGGGGAGAGCCACCTTTTTGACTCAGGGTATTGATTCAAATGCCCAGAAATGATGTTTTCCCAGTTTTCTGGGCATCTCTTAGCCCCCCTCAAGTTGTCACATGAAATTAACCATCACAGGGTCTAAAGTTCAGGTTGAAATTTACACACAACCTGCACCAGGAGAGACTGTGAAGGCTCCTGGTGCCCAAAAGACAGGACCCAGCTTGCAGCTGGGGACAGTTTGCCTCCGCCTGCCCTCGAGGAAGCCGCTTCCTTCTCTCCTTCGCTGTGCCGGTCCTGGTGGCCAGCATGTCAGCAGTCCGTGAGTCAGAAAATCAAAGTGAGAATCAAAATCCCACTAATCAAATCACATAGGTTACATATTTATACGTGTGTGTTCAGAAACGTTGGGAGCATATACCTCATGGGTGAATATGGGTAGGGGAATTTCTCTTGTCCAAGTGAATTTCTCTTTACATCATGAATGTGTGCTCCAGTAATAAGAAAGATATTTTTATGTGGGGAAAAATACACAGTCATGAGGAAACCAGAAGAAGTCCTGTACCTAGATATTGCCCCAGCCAGTATTTTCCAAGTCAGCTGGGAAGGCTGACCAGCACAGTCAGCTCTGCCTCTTACCCTTCCCCATTCACCCTGCTGTGATGGTGGGCAGTCACTTAGGTAATGGAAAAATGCAGGTTTGGCTACCTCCCACAAGGAGGTCCAAACTCCTGAGACAGGTGCTAGTGCAAAAGGAAAGAGGTTTTATTCAGGTGCTGCACAACCTGGGAGAATGGTGGACTCCCATCTCAAAGACCACCCTCCTTCCTGCTCAAGCCCTCAATTCTTATAGGGATAGGGAGGGGAGGGGAGGGCTTTTTTTCTACCCAACTATATTGCCAGCTTTTGGTGTGCTTGGGTCCTGTCCATTCGTCTTTCTATCTTTTGTCTATTAGGTGTATGAACCTCCCCCTGTGCCATCTTGGCCAATGGGGAGACTACTGGCTCTCTGACTGACAGTCTACGGTAAAACTTAGGGATGTCCAGGAGGCAGCACCAAATCTTGGACTTGAGTGGAACAGCCAAGGGGGTGTACTAAAATGTTAGAGCTGCAACGGGCTCTGAACACCATCTAGTGATTCTGGTCTAACCCCTGCGCTGTAGAAGTGAGCCCACCAAGGCTCAGCTCCCTAGGATCACACAGCTATCCAGTGGCAAAGCCAGACATAGAGGCTCTGGCCTACCATCCCCAAGCCTGCTCCTGTCAGCCTTCCACACTGTCCCCCCCATTTGTAGCTGCGAAGGCTCAGGAACCTGCTAAACCTCCCTCCATGAACCCCTCTTCAAAAATGGGAAGGGGAAGAACATGGAGGGGAGGGGAGGAAAGGAAGAAGAGAGAAAAAGGAGAGGAGAGAAGGAGACCAAAGGGAAGCAAAGAAAAAGAAAAGGGAGAAAGCCTCCTCTTGTCACCTAGGCAAAGCGGGCAGAGAAGACAGCTGCTCTCCATCCCCCCTCCAGTCCCCTCCCCCCACCTGCTTCTCCCATTCTCCACTGCCAACAACCTTCTGTGACATTGCTTTTACTCCAAGGCTACCTTTGACCTTCACCCAAGTGACCTCTAGTTAAGAATGTCACAGGACAGAGTATGACTGTCCCAGTCACACTCACACCAGAGATGGACAAAGTAAGAGGATCCCAGGCATAAGGAAATGACAGAGGGCGGGAATGTTTCTTGCTCGAATTGTGCTCACTTAGCCAGTAAACAACTTTGTCTGCCTTCCTTCCCCTCGTGAATAACTCAGAGGGGAAGGGAACGTCCCCCTCATTAAGTGAGGTGGCAAACACAGTGCAGAGCATGCGTGCACATTAATTTTTGCCGGCTGTCGCCTTTGTGTTTTGAACAAGTCAGATTCCTTTGTGTAATTGCTTGATGAAACATTCCCATCCATTCTGTCAACACAAATTATACAGTTAAACATGCATGGTGCCCCAACCCACACAATACCAATGAGAAAGTGCTGACTGGCCCTGGAGGTGTGGGCTCCCCGGAGTAGCAGCCCAGGTCCAGCCCTCCTGCTGCCCTCCCCAAGCAGCCCAGCTTCCAGACCTTGTTATTCTCTGTCCACCTTCCAAGGACAGTTGCTAGGAAACGGGGATACAGTTGGCTGGGTCCGTTGCCTGGCCCCTACGGGGATGGGGGAACAGAGCAAGGAGAGCCAAGAAACACAATACCAGGCCTTCAGGTCACAGGTACTTCCTGGGCTCAGACGGGGCTCCTCTGTGGTGAGGCTCTTCCCCGCAGAGAGGGGCCTCACATGCTCTCGGCGTCTCTCACTCCATCTCTGGTGAGGTTTTTGAGTATTTGTCTAAAGTGTAGAATGTACACACACACCCCTACACACATACCCCTCTTAGTGTACACAACTCTACACACATACCACTATACATACCTACACAGATAGTTCTACACCCATACCTACATAGATAGCTACACACACCCCTACACTCACACCCCTACTCACACACTCCTACACACACATGTCCTTACACATGCCCACACACATCCCTACACAACATCCATACCCACACACACACACACACACACCTCTTCTTCATACAGTGATTATTAAGTCAAAGCACATGTATATGCCAATCAGGACAAGAAGGGTACATGCTATATCTAAAATATTTGTCTCTCAAAGTTCACATGTTGAAATCCTAACCTCCCCAAATTCAAAGTTATCAGGAGTGGGGCCTTCAG